ATAGCCTCGTAGAAGAAAGTCCGCAGAGAGGCGTCATCCAGCCTGCCTGATGAGAGTGAAAGAGTGGAACGAAGAACGTTTCTCACCGTTCTGATTTGTCTCTCCCAGACACCTCCTGCTTGTCTTGAATGGGGAGCGTTCGAGTTAAAGTTACATTGCTTCTCAGCCAAAAACGTGGTCAGACGATTTGCATCTACTTGCTTGAGAGCATCATTCAGTTAATTTTTAGCTCCAACAACATTTTATGTAACGTACTGCTCCTCTTATGGCTATGAAACAACGAAGGCCATTAATAAAGGCATCCGTGGACATGTCATCCAACATTTCAATGTGGATGGTTCGAGAGCAAAGGCATGTGAGAAGAAGACCATATCGCTTTTGCACTTTGCGTCCTTGCTTGGTGAGAAATGGACCAATACAGTCCATTCCACAATAGGTGAATAGTGATGATGGATTGACACGTTCTGACAGCAGATCTGCCATTCGTTGTTCTTCTGTGACTCCTCTGAGTTTCTGACACATAACACATTGATGCAAGTGTGCTGCCATTGCTCTGTTGATTCCTGGAATTCAGAATCAATTTCATCTGATCTCATTGATGGTCAGGCCTTTTCCTTGATGTTGAATCCTTTGATATTATTATCGATTATTGTTCTGGTAAGGGGATGATCCTTTGGTATAATCACTGGGTAGGGAGAGATGCATTTTTCAGTCTTCCTCCTACCTTAAGGAGTCCATTTTGGTCAAGAAAGGCATCCATCCGATACAGTTCACTCCGAGAAGGCAGCTGAGTTTCCTTACGGAGCAACTTTAACTCTTCTGGATAAGCTTGTCTCTGTAAATCCTTTATGATGATGCACCGTGCATCCTGTTGTTCCTGTACAGTGCTGTGATCTTGTTGACTTATCTCCCCTGATACGACGGATGAGAAGAGCAACGGTTTGAGTTGTTTTCAACCATGAAGAAAACCTTGACAAGCGGTCGGAGAGACTCACTTATTCCGATGTCTGTGTATTTAGTGTCTGAATCCTTTTGACTTCAGGATCTCGAATCTGTATTTCCGTGATAACATCTGTAGCTGGAGGTATCTCCTTCTCCCATAAGAACTGAGGTCCTGTGAACCAGCTTGATGTGAGAATTTCACTTGCGCTTGAACCTCTAGAGGCAAGGTCTGCAGGGTTATTCTTAGTAGAGACGTATCTCCACTGCTGGGGAGCTGTGCTGAGATGTATTTTCTGTATTTGGTCCGATACAAACGTGTGGATATACCAGAACCACTTTAGAGTCAGTCCAGAAGTATTCAACAACATTTGACAAACCAAGCTCCTCCTTTAGGGTGTTGCTTGCTGCGACTGACACAACAGCAGCCGTCAACTCCATTCCAGGGATAGTCATTACCTTAATGGGAGCTACTCTGGACTTTCCCATAACCAGAGCACAATGAACGCTTCCATCTTCATTTACAAGTCTTAAGTACGAACACTGTCCATAACCATAGTGGTCATCACAACTTTCCCGAAGTCAGCAGGCACATAGCAGCGTGGTATAGTGATTTTCTCCAGATTTGCAAGATCATTCTTACAGCGTTCTTACACTGGTTGCAGTTCACTGGGAAGAGGATCATCCCAGTTTGTCCCGTGCCTACACATTTCCTGAAGCACCTTTTTCCCTGTGAGCAGGAAAGGGGCGACAAACTCCAGTGGGTCATAAAGGGAGGCAACTTTGGATAAATGCCGCGTCGTGTTTCTGGCTGGTGTTTTAGGAAGACACAAAATCTGAAAGTGTCAGACTCAATGTGCCAGTGGATTCCTAAGGCTCTCTCTAAAGTTGAATCGTTAAAGGCCAGGTCAAGAGCTTTCACTTCAGTGGCATGCTCAGATGGTGGTATACTCTCCAGCACTGATCTGTTGTTGTACACAAATTTGTGCAGTCTCAGACCACCCATTGCACAGAGCTCCTGGGATTCCTTTGCAAGTAATATTGCATTGTCAGTGGTTGCTATGCTAGTAACACCGTCGTCAACATAAAGGTCTTTCATGATGAACTGTGAGCCAAGGGGAAACAGGCTCTCATTGTCCTTAGCAAGTTGCTTTAGTCCATAGTTGGCACATCCTGGTGATGACGCAGAACCAAAGAGATGAACCTTCATGCGAAATTCCTGTGGTGCTGCTCTCAAGTCACCATCTCTCCACCACAGGAAACGTAGGTAGGCTTCATATACATGGAACTGATGAAACATCTGCTCAATGTCACATATCAGTGCTATATACTGCTGTCTGAATCTGAGGAGGACACCTGTTAGATTATTCAGCAGATCTGGGCCTGACAGAAGATGGTTATTCAGGCTATTCAGGGAATATACCATTTCTCTCCTTCCTTCCCCTGATCGTGAACTTCCTCTGCATTACCCTTTTCAAATAGCGTTCCTTGTACTTCTCATCTTTCAGCAGCTTTCTTTTAAGATGGCTGAGCCAGACAATGGCTAGTTGCTTATTGTCAGGGAGGTAGGGTCTCTCTTTAAACGGCAGTGGCATCTCATAATGCTGTGAATGTTCCTCTGAATTCCTTCCTTTAATATGTTCAGGAAGAGACTCTTCCTGAACATATTAGATAGATAAGAGTCATCCTGAGACACGGTCTTGCCATCTTTGCTGGCATCCTCTTTGACAGCAACTCTGCCGGGAGGTCGCCGTGGGAGAGGTCCGAGGTGAGAGGGCAGGGTGGTGAGCCCAGCTGACGGAACGGGGGACGGAGGTGAGTGGACCAGGACAGACAGAGGAAACTCTGCAGGGGAAACAGAATCAAACTTTCAGCTTCTATAATCCATGTTTAGACTCTGATGTAGAAACCTGCGGGGACTGATTTCTGAATCCCGCTCCCGTTGATTTTGAGACCATTAACGCCCATTCCCGCAACATGTGTATCCACTCCCGCCCGCACCCGCAAACATTGTGACATGCAGAGTAAAAAAACAGATGTTTGGGCTATGCTGAACGCCCGTGTGACAGAAACCAGCGAGGCTGTGCAGTGAGTAAACCTCAATTCCGACACCTCAGGAGACGTACTGGGGACTGCCGTCAGTGGACACGGGTTTAGCTCCCTCGTCAGCGTGTCCGCCTCCCGTACCGAGATCGCCGGTAAGGGTCAGGCCTGTGAAGTCGTTACCATGGCGATCTGTCAGTCAGGCTCGAGTGACTCGTACCCACGGGACTGTGTAAATTTAACCAGCGCCGCTGAAAAAGCTCATCAGGAGTCGGCTGCTCACTTTCTCTGGTGAGTACACTTAGTTTTAAGACTGTTGTTCGCTAGACAAAGTTATCAGCCCTGTTAAAATGACTTACAATGAGTTACAGATGCATCTAGCTAAGCTAGCTAGCTCCACACACGGCTCCATCGTCTCGTCCAAATATGGTCACTTCTGGGAACTTCCTGGTTGCAAAAACTCAACATGGCGGCGCCCTATCGGCCAAACTCGAGGCTTCAAAGCGGTGGTCCACAAACCAATGGGTGACGTCACAATGACTACGTCCACTTCTTATATTCAGTCTGTGGGTCTGAACAGCCCAAAGTTTGAGCAGGTGGCTCCTCGCTGACCTTTCTCTCTACAGAGTTCCTCTGACAGCCTCCTTTAAACCGGATTTTACTTTCTAAGAGTCTGAAATACTTCAAAACACATCGATAGAAACAAGTGGGGGACAGTTACTACGTACAGTGGGTACGGAAAGTATTCAGACCCCTTTAAATTTTTCACTCTTTGTTTCATTGCAGCCATTTTCCAAAAATCAAAAAAGTTCATTTTATTTCTCAGTAATGTACACTCAGCACCCCATCTTGACAGAAAAAACAAATGTAGAAATTTTTGCAAATTTATTAAAAAGAAAAACTGGACTCCCAAAGCAGCAGCTCAGACACGCCTGCAGTCACACCGCTGTCCACAGAGAGCCAGAAGATCAAGGAGATGAAATACAAACACCTCCAAGACCTCAAGGAGGTCACAGCGAAGGACTTCCTGACTCTCAGGCAGATATGTACAGAGTCAACGTTTCATTGTTAAGGGACAAAAGTGTTGATTGTTGACAAAGTGAATATTTACACACGATGTTACAGTTGGATAGTTCCTGTTTGCTGCGTGGTTGTTATTCAGGTGTGAGTCGGCCTGAAAACAGGACTTTTAAACGAACAGAGTTCTAATGTTGTTGTGTATAAATGAACAATTATTGTTAGTGCAGAATCACGTTAATGTTTCTGATGAAAGCTATTTATGGATTCTTACATCTATATAATAATATGGCTTTAATTTATTTACTGATGGTGTGTCATTGCTATTTTTCACACATTAAAGTGTGTTTGTCCATTGTGTCTGTTCTGACGGACGACCTGTTTTATATCTATTTATGGATTCGTGGCATTTATTAATTGTCGATGGGCCATTGTTATTTATGAAATGCACGTTTTAAAGAAATGATTGTGTCTGTCCATGTTATCAACTAACAAGTGTGCACTACAATACCTGTGAGTCAATAATGAAAAAATAATTTCACTAGCATTATTTTTAATAGTCTTTCATTCAGCTGTGTTCAGCTGGTAGGCGGCAGTACTGAGCCAGACCTGTTGATCCACTTCAACTGTAGAAGAGACCTCGGCTGCTTCTCAAGTCTCTTATTTGTCGTTTCCTCGCTTGAACCGGAAGTTGTTCCGCTCCGCCATCTTGCAGGCCGTCCCAAAGCTCTTATTTGTGCTCCGAGGAGCGAGCTGTGAGGAGCTATGAGCGAGGATACACCAGTGGGTCCGTCGCGGAAGTCTTTTACTGACCGACGCGCCCCCTTACTGGGTAACCGTTATAGTGATTGGACACTGCAGCTGATCGGACTGATCTGATGCATCAGGACAGAAACATTAAACTCAAGTGCATCACTGCAAAGAGATCGGCTATATTTGATTTGTGTTGTGTCAATTTATGGTTACTTTGCTTTAGGTGTACTGAGCAATCCAAGCCTTGATTCACCCAGGGCTCTCAGGGCACTCCCAAACTGCAGGGGGCAATCATGCAACAAAAGTTGGTGGAACCAACTTTTGGGGAAGTAGCTTTGGGACTATATTTGCCTGCGCACCCACAGAGAGAGCATGGCATTGAAATGTTTGTAGAGAGTTCGGTTGGTTCTCTCATTTATTCCTGGAAAAGGACACTATGATTACAGCTCCTGATCACTCAAAGACGCAACTGGTAGGACAATTTATGATTGACTGTGTTTGAATATATTGAGTTTAAATGTTCAGGTTCTGCTTGGATTGTAATTTGCAATTTAAAATAAGTAATGGGGATTTGTTATGTGAATGTTGAACTTGACAGAAGTAACATGTGCATGAGTTTAATTACGGGATTGGTATTTTCTTGTTAAAATCCTAGGTTAGACTTAAGGATCGTGTTTAGTTTGGTTTGAAGATTCAATAGCATTTATTTATTACTTCTGTGAGAAAGTGGTATTGTGATTTATGTGTGACTGATTCATGACTTATCTGTAACTAATTCATGTTTTGGTTTGTGCATTTGAAAGGTTATCAACCTATACCTACTGCCCCACACTGATCTATCAAGTCACATTCAAGAAACTATACCATATTATTCCATCACTGGTCTATCAAACCATCTCAAAGAAAATAAAGAATCAAGAAGTGAAAAGATTGAGTTGTCCTTTGCGTTCTTCAGAGAGAAAAGCAGTTTTCAAGTTTGGGCTGAGCTGTAATCAATTAAAAACACACAGAACTTGACAATTTGTTTGATGATTCCAGTTAAAATCTGAGTTCACTGTAGGTCAGAGCCCCACACACAACTTTCTTCATTTAGCCTTTTAGAAATGCTAGAGACAATTAAAGTCAGAGAGTCTGTCAGCAAGAAACACGTTTTACATCCTTTATCGTCATGTCTATTCAGTCACATGTGAGGCTGCTTGTTTAGTCCAAACAGACGACTATGAAACACAGTAAACAAGTTGGGTGTCGGACTCTAATGAAGCGAGCAAAGGAAAATGAATCCGCTCATCCAGCCGATCTCACCTACTGCAAAAAGCGTTGGATTGCTACAATGGAACACAGTGATCGATCAGTGACCAGTGATGTGACTTAATGTTTGCAGTAGACTAGTGTTAAAGGATATCCGAAGAGGAAATAAAGTGAAAGCCTAAAACTGAGCATCGATCATTTCAATTTCCCCTAAACATAGAGCCAATAAATCCCAAGACACCATGATCATATTCTGGGTTATTCAATAACGAATTTACACTCAGAATCAATAAATATAAATGCAGATAATATCAGCATTGTCCCAGTAGAAATGATCCTGTTCCTCTGAGCAGGACATACAGAAACCTGTAATTCTTCATGTGCAGGTGTTTGTTAAACAGGTAGCAGCTACAGAGAGGATCCTGCTGCTCTGCACTGATAACTGTGAGACTTTATTAGTTGCAACACAGCGCACATGTGTGCAGACACAAGCTCCATCAGAAGTCTCTACAGCTGTTAGAGCCCACTGACAGCTCAACGTGTGATCAGCTGCCGCCGTCATCAGAAACGACGTCACTTCACGTGACTCTTCGGAGGAAAGGACGTCTCATGTCTCTAAAAACATATTTCCTCGTCCACGCAAGTGAGGGAAACGTGGATGCAATGAAGAGACTTGAGAAGCGGCCACTGTCAGGACAGGAAATACACGCAAAAACTACAAAATAAAAGTGTGTGATTCCACAGGAAACGCATTAAAAAATTAGAAAGTTGAATCACGTCGACATAGGAGGAGGGTTTTTGTCTTTGATTCATATTTAATTATTTAGTCAACATTGTAACGGGAAACCACCAGGCTAATTTATTAAATATAGCATATTGATTTGAGCCTATTAAGGTTCTGATGTAGCAACAAAGCCGTCTATATATTGCTTCAATCATTCAACCAGAAACAGCATCTGTTTTACAGGCACTATTTATTCTGTTAAAATATAACGTTAATTCAGTCCACACAGCCACATCCATTCACAGAAAAACATGATTAAGAGTGTAACTTAGCCTCTCTTCCAGTCATCTTAAAAGGACACACACTTCTCATTCATAATTTACCTTTGAAGAGTAATATACTTTGGCATTTTACTGCAATCTGATGAATTTAATAGGAAAAACGGACAACTGTGGAAACTGGACTACAATTTGAGCTTCGTGGGGGTCTGTAGTTTAACGGCCGTTAATTTTCAATGCAATTTATTTATATAGCGCCAAATCACAACAACAGTTATCTCACAGCGCTTTTCATAAAAGAGCAGGTCTAGACCATACTCTGTGATGTTATTTACAGAAGCCCAACAGTTCCCACCAAGAGCAAGCACTAGGCGACAGAGGCAAGGAAAAACTTCCTTTTAAGAGGCAGAAACCTCGAGCAGAACCATGGCTCAGGGTGGGCGGCCATCTGCCTCGACCGGTTGGGGTGAGAGAGGGGGAGGGAGGCAGCCTACACAATATACACACAGAGGTACAGACAGTGAAGGTGATGTTGCTATAGACTAAATGAAAAATGGTACAGATATTTATAATAGTGTTAATGGTAACCATCGTAATGTTAATGATTATAATAACAATAATAACAATAAGACTAGCAACAATAGTCGTTGCAGCAGAGGGTGTCGAGCAGGAACACGGGGGCAGCAGGTGACCCGCAACCACAGCTCCAGACTCCACAGCTCCAGAGCCAGAAAACCTGCAGGAAGTGATAGGAGAGAGGAGAGAGACGAGAAAGCACAAGACTACCAGAAAGGGGAGAAGTTGTGTTAGTAACATGCAATAATGGGATAAGGTTGCATACAGAGGGAGAGAAAGTAGAGGAGAGAGGATCTCAGTGCATCATGGGAAATCCCCGGCAGTCTAGGCCTATAGCAGCATAACTAAGGGATGCCTCCTGAACCCAAACTGGAACCTGGTTCCACAGGAGAGGACCTTGATAGCTGAACGCTCTGGCTCATAGTCTACTTTTGGAGACTCTAGGAACCACAAGTAACCCTGCATTCTGGGAGCGCAGTGCTCTGGTGGGGTAGTAAGGTACTATGAGCTCTTTAAGATAAGATGGTGCCTGACCATTAAGAGCTTTGTAGGTAAGAAGAATGATTTTAAATTCTATTCTGGATTTTACTGGAAGCCAATGCAAAGAAGCTAAAACAGGAGAAATGTGATCTCTTTTCCTGGTTCCTGTCAGAACACGTGCTGCAGCATTCTGGATCAGCTGAAGAGTCTTAATGGACTTTTTCGAGCAGCCTGATAATAAAGAATTGCAGTAATCCAGCCTAGAAGTAACAAATGCATGGACTAGTTTTTCTGCATCATTTTTAGACAGGATGTTCCTGATTTCCGCAATATTACGTAGGTGAAGAAATTTGCTTAATGTGAGACTTAAACGACATGTCCTGATCAAAGATAACTCCAAGATTCCTTACAGTGGTGCTGGTGGCCAGGGCGATGCCATCCAGGGAAACTATATCTTTAGATAATGCGTCACGGAGGTGCTTAGGCCCCAGAGCAATAACTTCAGTTTTATCTGAGTTTAACATGAGAAAATTACAGGTCATCCAGGTTTTAACATCCTGAAGGCACATTTGAAGTTTAGCTAACTGATGAGTTTCATCTGGCTTGATCGATAGATATAACTGAGTATCATCTGCATAACAATGAAAGCTTATGGAATGTTTCCTGATAATATTGCCTAAAGGAAGCATATATAAAGTGACTTAAGTAACTTTGGCGTGCATGGAGGACTCATTGTTAACATGTACAAACTGAAATCGATCTGATAAATAGGACTTAAACCGTTACCGGCGGGATTAATAAATAAATAATAGAAGCCTGGACAGACTTCATTGCTCATTACGTGGTTAACACTTCTCTCACACACTATCACTCGTGTGATACTGCAACAAAGTTTCAGTTTCAAAAGCCTGAAATAAACCAACACTACTGCTACTACACAAATACGCCCTTTATAGTATCATATTAATTATTAATCATGTTGTAAAGACATTTATGCGGTGCGCAGCATAGTTTGTTTGGAAAACGTGTTTATTTTAGTGTGTTTATCTTATTAATATAATGTACATTTGTGATAAAATAATGGTTGTTGGTAAGTGAATTACTGACCCCCACAGATGCAGGATTAAGAGCTCAGACCTCCTTCTGGACCGTAACTAGAACCCTGCTTGACTATGTGGACTATCAAACTCTACAATCTGTATAAATGAACACACCTGTATCCATAATTTTGTAAATATCCACTTTTTAAAAATGAATGGAGACAACAGCCTACTGTAATAATACTTTATTTATTCACTGTACACACACAGATTACACAGTAAGAAAAGGAGCTGGCAGCAGTGACTGATTTGCATTATCCAAAACATTTTTAATAAGTCTGAATGCATGAGCCTCTGCATGTTCCATCAAAATATCTACCAATATGTACAATATTTGTACATCTAAATCACGCAAATTAGGATCTTCCAACAGTGGCTGTGGTCAGGAGTAGTTTCTTTATGTGGATAACTGTTTAAATAACTGTGTGTGTAAATCTGCTCCAAAAAAGCTGATTCAAACTATCAACTCCTTATGAATCCTGAAGCTGCTTCAGTCAGCTGTGTTGAAGCAGGGAAAGAGTAAATCATGCAGGACAGGGGGTAACTTTTTCCAGGAAAGGGTATGAAACATTGTCGTAGTACATAAACTATAATTAAACTAAGATCAATTCGTACAGCAGCCAGTCTTTGCACACTGTTTAAGCTACACCGAACGGTCTAAAGAATATCATTTTTCTTCTTTTGGACAAATAACTAACCTGAGCGTCGTCAACATGTTAAGACAAATGCAGACCTATGCCCTTGCAAAATGCTTTACAAAACGAACACACAGTAGCTTCGTACAGTCTATGAGTAATGCTAACTTACGTTATGCAAAGGTAAAAAAGCGAATCCTGCTACTTCAGGAGCTAACGCCAGCCACTGCTGGCGTAGCTGAACATTATCTATGTAGAACGACAAATAACCTTACACACGTGTAACATTCTGTCATTTGTGTGACTTAGATGTACAATATTGACAGCGGTAGCTATTGACGGTGAACATACACCAAGAGCAATGCATTCAGACTTTACTCTATGTTTTGGATACTGCTAACCAGTCACCTACCGCTGTTGCGACGTGTAGAGTAGCAAAACAACGTCTCGGGTTATGTATGTAACCCTGGTTCCCCGAGAAGAGGAACGAGACACTGCGTCGGTTACGACACTATGGGAACGCCTCTAGGCGTAGGAGGTCTGAACGTGAATTAAATCACTCCAATCCTATTGGTTTGTTGCTAGAACGGTAAGGTGTGACGGAATAACCGGACGAGTATAAAGCACACCTGTACACACTCATCATTAGCTTAAACTATGAAGCAGGCGCTTCAGGCGGGGAGAGAGGTGCGGCGGGCCGTTCCCCTTCTCGAACCATGGTTACATACATAACCCGAGATGTTCCCCTACGAGGGAACTTGAACTGCGTCGGTTACGACACTATGGGAACGAGATACCCACTAAACTGTGCTGAAAACCCCGCCTGCCCCAGTGTGCAATAAAGTGGCACGACTAAGAGGAGAGCGCACGAGTGCCAGGTACCGAAGGA